AATCTAAGTCTATTTTCTGTCATCTTATCCACGATTGACGCAACACCTATACTTCCTCTTATATGCTCGTTCCTTATCCTATCTTCTCTAGTCACTCCACTCATCCAACTAAGCATTCTCATCTCTGCTACACTTATTCTCTGCTCTACTTTCTTATCAACCGCCCAACACTATGAACCATACATCATAGCTGGCCTCACAATTTCATACTGAATTTGAAAACTATAATTAGTCTTTATTCATATATTATATTTTAAAATCAAAGTACTACTAATCAGAATATAATTAAAGAAATAAGAGTTGATGTTGCTTTTGGAATAATCCACCAATTTCTCTAAATGAAACACTATCTACAGATTTGCATCGAAGTGTTCCTTATGATAGTGATTTTAATCACTGTCAGATATCATAATACTTGATCCAACTATGCCACGTCACCACTGTGCCGCGACCCCCCTGTGCTGGGTTTTTGTTACACTGATTCTGATGTAATATTTTTTCTGCAAAATACTTATCGTGCCCGGCATAGCCGATACTACTACCGGAATCATTAGTTTACTTATGAGGATGGCCCAAAAAGGCTTACGCGCCGAAGGCTCGTGAGGCTCGTAGGGCCTTAGCTGGAAAATCCTAGAAAATAATTAATTTTAAAAATGATTATTCAAAAATTTTGAATTCTACTAAAGTAGTTAAAATATATCTATGTTCATTGTAAGTAAAAATTATGCTTGTTGTTATTTACTTAATAGAAATTAATCTGATTTTCATAATTATTGATACTGCTTTAAAATTTGTTTTAGAAATTCCATATTTTATCAACATTTTTTTTTATGTGTATTCCAACTTACTTGCAAGGTAAGTATCTCTCAACGATATTAAGTGAGATATATATAATTATGAATAAAGTCTATGGTGTTAATCTAAAGTTTAATTATTTTATGTGTTACAGAATATTTAGTTATAACTCACGCGATGTCTTTAAAAATTTTGTTATTTAAAAACTTGAACGTATGCATTAGGGTGAATCAAAAAAATTCGATCTTCGNAAAATAAATATAAAATAGAAAAAATATGTTTTAATTTTTTTAGATATATACAAAGTAAATTGTTACAGTTATTTATTACTTAGTGATATTGAAATGTTAATGTTCCTTATTATATGTATAATTGTAGAATGCGGTCATTTTAGTTTTTGTCGGATGCCGTAGTGTAGTCGGGTGCCCATGTAGGCTTAGTTAGTAGTAGTGCCTGTGTGGAGATTAGCCAGAAATATTTGTTAGAATTTTAAAGTAATTTTATAGATAAATATTATAATTATGAATAAAGTCTATGGTGTTAATCTAAAGTTTAATTATTTTATGTGTTACAGAATATTTAGTTATGACTCACGCGATGTCTTTAAAAATTTTGTTATTTAAAAACTTGAACGTATGCATTAGGGTGAATCAAAAAAATTCGATCTTCGAAATTTTAATGGGAACAATTTTAACTTTATTATATACATTAAAATAGTCATTTTGTGTAAATTTGAGATTTTTAAAAACATTTTTACTGGTGGTTCAATGTGTTTATAGTATTTTAACTTAAAAAAAATTAATAATTATTGCAACATTTATTCAAATGCTTTGCGCAAAATATTAATAATTATGCCATAAATAATTATTACTTAACGTATTTAATATGTTAAAAATAATCAGTGCAAATTATAATTTTTAACCTATTTTTTGGTCTTTAAAGTTAATTTTTTGAAAGTTTATATTGAAAAAAAAGGTTTATTTGTTACCATAACTTATAACTCAACTTCAAATTTGAAATTAAGATTATTAAATAGAAAATTGTATGTGAATTAAAAAAGTAGTATAGTATTTAAAGTGTTAATAATTGATTCATAACCATGAAAAATTTTATAGATCACGTTATATAGTTCTTTGTGTTATATAAAATCTATAATAATAATATCTAGTAATAAATTAGTATTTGGTACTTAGTCAAGTTGAAACATTGGATATAACTGAAATTGTTGGGGAATTAATTATTTGAATTTAAATTATTTTTATTATTTATTAAAAAATCAGCTACTAAAAGGACGGTTAATCCGTCCAGATGCCCTCGAATAGAATGTATGCTGTCAACTCATATTCGTGACAAGTTTACTTTCTAATGTTACAAAAAAAACAACTTCATGCAAATTTCTGATCAGTAGATATTTTTATTGTATTTGCATTGTTATTTACGTGTAAAAATCATAGAGTAACTCTATAGTAAAAATGACACGGTAAAATTTAAATTTAAATTCCATCACTCGTCAATAATAAGATTGTTTTTATAAATTCAGAAAGGCGACTGCTAAAATAAATCTAGTTATAGCAATGCAATACGTTAAAATAATTGAATAGGCTGAATATAACGCTCTCCAGTTGGACTTAAGTACAAAGATCTGAATCCGTAAGAGGCTCACCTCTATATAAAAGATAAAAATTTAATAGTAGATTATTATAATAAAATATAATAATAATTTAAATGTGATTAATAAATATCAGAGGGATGAAAATAAATAGGAACGTTCCAAAGCATTTTTGCGAAACAATTTGTAGCTAGCATTCTGTTCCGGAGCAAATGGTCGGAACGATTTTTGCTAATAGTTCCGTTCCGGAGCAAATGGCCGGAACGAATTTTACTAATAGTTCCGTTTCGGAACAAATATTGGAACTGAACAAAATTTGCTCCGTTCCGAATCCCTGATAAAAATCGGAATTATGGATTTACAATTAATAATTTCATATACTTTTTGTAATATTTTTTAAATATTTATTAAATTGTAATATTTTTAGTGATATAAAATAAAATTATAAACCTGCTATATATTTACAGTTCAAGGTGATAGTGTTGAACCTTCAAATAGTAAGCAAAAAATTAATAAAATGAAGTAAAATTAAAAAAATTCTTATAAAAAAAAAATTATTTAAAAAAATTATTTTTTATGTATTATTTTTATTTTTAATTAACTACACATTTATTAATATTATTTTTATGTATGAATACACTCAAAAAGCATTTTTAGACTTATACACAATACTGCTTCACATTTAAAACTTTTTGTAACTTTCAATGAAAATAAAAATTTTGGATATACAATTAATAATTTCTTAATACTAATAGTAATTATAGTCTTAAATTAGAATACTTTTTGCACTGTAAAATAATAAATCATATGTATTACATTTAATTTCAGGTAATCGTGCTAGTTCTTTAAATGGTAAGTAAAAAGTTATTGCATTTAAGTTAATATTACAGAATAATACTTAATGTTAACATTATAATATAATATGATTTTTTTATAAATATTTTAGAACAATTAATTGTTTTATTTATTATTTTAATTACATCCACACTATGCCACGATGTCACTGTGCTACCGTTTATTTTTCATATTAATTCTGCATAATAACTTTTATTGAATTATCACATTGAATTTCGTGAATCTGTAATGAACTGTCAAATTAACAAAAATCGGAATTATGGATTTACAATTAATAATTTCATATACTTTTAAATTGTAATATTTTTAGTGATATAAAATAAAATTATAAACCTGCTATATATTTACAGTTCAAGGTGATAGTGTTGAACCTTCAAATAGTAAGCAAAAAATTAATAAAATGAAGTAAAATTAAAAAAATTCTTATAAAAAAAAAATTATTTAAAAAAATTATTTTTTATGTATTATTTTTATTTTTAATTAACTACACATTTATTAATATTATTTTTATGTATGAATACACTCAAAAAGCATTTTTAGACTTATACACAATACTGCTTCACATTTAAAACTTTTTGTAACTTTCAATGAAAATAAAAATTTTGGATATACAATTAATAATTTCTTAATACTAATAGTAATTATAGTCTTAAATTAGAATACTTTTTGCACTGTAAAATAATAAATCATATGTATTACATTTAATTTCAGGTAATCGTGCTAGTTCTTTAAATGGTAAGTAAAAAGTTATTGCATTTAAGTTAATATTACAGAATAATACTTAATGTTAACATTATAATATAATATGATTTTTTTATAAATATTTTAGAACAATTAATTGTTTTATTTATTATTTTAATTACATCCACACTATGCCACGATGTCACTGTGCTACCGTTTATTTTTCATATTAATTCTGCATAATAACTTTTATTGAATTATCACATTGAATTTCGTGAATCTGTAATGAACTGTCAAATTAACAAAAATCGGAATTATGGATTTACAATTAATAATTTCATATACTTTTAAATTGTAATATTTTTAGTGATATAAAATAAAATTATAAACCTGCTATATATTTACAGTTCAAGGTGATAGTGTTGAACCTTCAAATAGTAAGCAAAAAATTAATAAAATGAAGTAAAATTAAAAAAATTCTTATAAAAAAAAAATTATTTAAAAAAATTATTTTTTATGTATTATTTTTATTTTTAATTAACTACACATTTATTAATATTATTTTTATGTATGAATACACTCAAAAAGCATTTTTAGACTTATACACAATACTGCTTCACATTTAAAACTTTTTGTAACTTTCAATGAAAATAAAAATTTTGGATATACAATTAATAATTTCTTAATACTAATAGTAATTATAGTCTTAAATTAGAATACTTTTTGCACTGTAAAATAATAAATCATATGTATTACATTTAATTTCAGGTAATCGTGCTAGTTCTTTAAATGGTAAGTAAAAAGTTATTGCATTTAAGTTAATATTACAGAATAATACTTAATGTTAACATTATAATATAATATGATTTTTTTATAAATATTTTAGAACAATTAATTGTTTTATTTATTATTTTAATTACATCCACACTATGCCACGATGTCACTGTGCTACCGTTTATTTTTCATATTAATTCTGCATAATAACTTTTATTGAATTATCACATTGAATTTCGTGAATCTGTAATGAACTGTCAAATTAACAAAAATCGGAATTATGGATTTACAATTAATAATTTCATATACTTTTAAATTGTAATATTTTTAGTGATATAAAATAAAATTATAAACCTGCTATATATTTACAGTTCAAGGTGATAGTGTTGAACCTTCAAATAGTAAGCAAAAAATTAATAAAATGAAGTAAAATTAAAAAAATTCTTATAAAAAAAAAATTATTTAAAAAAATTATTTTTTATGTATTATTTTTATTTTTAATTAACTACACATTTATTAATATTATTTTTATGTATGAATACACTCAAAAAGCATTTTTAGACTTATACACAATACTGCTTCACATTTAAAACTTTTTGTAACTTTCAATGAAAATAAAAATTTTGGATATACAATTAATAATTTCTTAATACTAATAGTAATTATAGTCTTAAATTAGAATACTTTTTGCACTGTAAAATAATAAATCATATGTATTACATTTAATTTCAGGTAATCGTGCTAGTTCTTTAAATGGTAAGTAAAAAGTTATTGCATTTAAGTTAATATTACAGAATAATACTTAATGTTAACATTATAATATAATATGATTTTTTTATAAATATTTTAGAACAATTAATTGTTTTATTTATTATTTTAATTACATCCACACTATGCCACGATGTCACTGTGCTACCGTTTATTTTTCATATTAATTCTGCATAATAACTTTTATTGAATTATCACATTGAATTTCGTGAATCTGTAATGAACTGTCAAATTAACAAAAATCGGAATTATGGATTTACAATTAATAATTTCATATACTTTTAAATTGTAATATTTTTAGTGATATAAAATAAAATTATAAACCTGCTATATATTTACAGTTCAAGGTGATAGTGTTGAACCTTCAAATAGTAAGCAAAAAATTAATAAAATGAAGTAAAATTAAAAAAATTCTTATAAAAAAAAAATTATTTAAAAAAATTATTTTTTATGTATTATTTTTATTTTTAATTAACTACACATTTATTAATATTATTTTTATGTATGAATACACTCAAAAAGCATTTTTAGACTTATACACAATACTGCTTCACATTTAAAACTTTTTGTAACTTTCAATGAAAATAAAAATTTTGGATATACAATTAATAATTTCTTAATACTAATAGTAATTATAGTCTTAAATTAGAATACTTTTTGCACTGTAAAATAATAAATCATATGTATTACATTTAATTTCAGGTAATCGTGCTAGTTCTTTAAATGGTAAGTAAAAAGTTATTGCATTTAAGTTAATATTACAGAATAATACTTAATGTTAACATTATAATATAATATGATTTTTTTATAAATATTTTAGAACAATTAATTGTTTTATTTATTATTTTAATTACATCCACACTATGCCACGATGTCACTGTGCTACCGTTTATTTTTCATATTAATTCTGCATAATAACTTTTATTGAATTATCACATTGAATTTCGTAAATCTGTAATGAACTGTCAAATTAACAAAAATCGGAATTATGGATTTACAATTAATAATTTCATGTATGGCTTAAATTTTAATATAATTAGTGTTATAAAATGAAAATACAAATCTACTATATAAATAGAATTCAAGGTGATTGTGTTAAGCCATTAAATGCTAAGCAAAAAATTACCAAATATATATTAATATTATAGCCCAACACATAATATTATTATTGTGTAATACTATATTATAAATAATAAAATATAATAATTTATTTTAGTATTATTTTTGTTCGCGTTGTTAATTAACTGCGTATTTATTATTATTATTTTTATGTATGAATACATCTAAAATGCATTTTTATACTTATAAACAATACTGCTTCACATTTAAAACTTTTTGTAACTTTCAATGAAAATAAAAATAAATAAAACCCAGCACAGAGAGGTCACGGCACAGTGGTGATGTGGCATAGTTGGATCAAGTATAATGATATCTGAAAGTGATTAAAATCACTATAAAAAAAACGCTTCGATGCAAATCTTTGTATAGTGTTTAATTTTAAAAAATTGGTTTATTATTCCAAATGCTACATAATCTGTTAGTTCCTTATTGATATCCTGATTAAGATAAAGTATGTCGTAGGAAAAAGGGATTATTAAAAAATATTATTTCTCATTAAAAAATGATGTTGATCCATACACTTTTCAATAAGTTATATCATTATAAAGATAAAAATGTAAAAATAAAATCGAGAATTTTCACACAAAAATCGCATTCGGTAGCCATTTTCACCGTGAAGATAAAATAAAGTCCGAAATTTTTTTTTTTGCATAATAAAGTACATTACATTAGCTTTAATTTAAGATATATATAAAAGTGTCAGACTTTCCGGAACACTTTCAAAATTTAAGTTGAAAAAGTTAATTTTTTGTGAAAAAAATGTCATATTAAATCCTCCCCTGTGGGCTGATTAAGGGTTAAATTTATGAAAAAAATATACCAAATGATAGGTAAAAACATCAAACATCTATAAAAAAAAAATTATAAGTATAGTAGCGCTCAAAAGTATTTTGACAATTAGTTTAGACCACTAAATGGCATGGACCTGCAAGACAGTAAGTAGCCGACCATTTTCTAGTGAAGAGTGCAGAAATTTGCAGCTGTTATCCTTTGAAAAAGAAGCTGACAAAGTAGGCATAAGTAAAAAAGTCTGTTTTTTTCAAAATACAGCGCTCAAAAGTATTTTGACAGGTGTATTTGTTAGCGCTAACACCTATTTTATTTTGTAATTACTTTGTTTTGGTATTTAGTCGCCGTTTTTATACATTGCATGGACCCTTTCAACCAAAATGCCGAAAGTTAAAAAGTATTCTACTGATCTAAAAGAGGCGGATAATGCAGCATTACAAAGTGGACGTTCACAAGCTAGTGTTTCAAGAGATTTTTGACTATCTAGACAGATTGTCAGTGTATGGAACCAACAATTTCCATCCCGTGGCATAGTAAAGAATGCTCAAAGATCGGAAAGGCCACGAAAAACAACCGAGAGAGTCGATAGGGACATTCGATGGAGATCAGTTGCAAATCCCCGCCTTACAGCTGTAGACATTACTCGCGATATAAACATTTCACACGGTGTTAATTGTCATGTATCAACTGTAAAACGCCGCTTGAACTACTTGGGTTTGAATGGTCGATGCCCCAGCAAGAAGCCATTGGTTTCTGTAAAGAACCGGAAGGCCAGACTTTCATTTGCTATTAAGTACAAGTCTTGGACAACACAGCAGTGGTCGACCATTCTATTTAGCGATGAAAGCAAATTTAATATATTTTCATCAGACGGAATATGGTATGTTAGACGTCCTGTCAACACACGAGACAATGTCAGCTACTAAGTTCCAACCGTAAAACGGCGGAGGACATGTTATGATCTGGGGATGCTTTTCATAAGCTGGTATGGCCCTTTGATCAACATAGAAGGCATCATGGACCACTTTAAATAAGCTGACATACTAAAAGATAATATGTTGGACACATGCCGAAGAAATTTTCGAGGGTGACTGGCAATTCCAACATGAAACGATCCCAAACATGCTTCAAAACATGTTAAAACCTTTTTGTCTAAGAATGGAGTCTTCGTGTTGGATTGGCCTAGTCAAAGTCCAGATCTGAATACAATTGAACATCTCTGAGACAAGCTACATAGAAGGATCCATCAACGAGAAATAACCACCAAGGCAACTCTACTTCAAACATTGCGTATAGAATGGGCCAAAATTCCTCTATTTACAATTGAAAAGCTGATTAACTCTATGCCAGCTCGATGTCAAGCGGTTATCAGGTCTAAAGGATACACTACCAAATATTAAACTTTCAGTCACTAATTTCTGTGATTTTGCTTGTTTTTTTGTTAATTATTTTTTAAGAAAATATTTATTTTTGTTGATTCTATTTTTGTCAAAATACTATTGAGCGCGGTAAACTCCTATAAAGCTAATTTTCAATTTTTATACTAACGTTTTTGTACATTTTTTTTTTCTTCTTGCTTTTTTTACGTTTAATCGCAATTCAGAGTCATAAGATTTATTGCTTCTGTTCAGATTTTTTTTAAATCGCCATTAATGTGTTTGTCAAAATCTTTAGATAGTGTTTAATTTTAAAAAATTGGTGGATTATTCCAAAAGCTTCATAAACTGCTAGTTCCTAATTAATATCCTCATTAAGATAAAGTATGTCGAATGAAAAAGGGATTATTAAAAAATAGTATTTCCCATAAAAAAATTATATTGATCAATACACTTTTCAATAAGTTATAGCATTATAATGTTAAAAATATAAAAAATAAAATTGAGAATTTTCACACATTAATAGCATTTAGTAGCCATTTTCACCGTGAAGACAAAATAAAGTCCAAAATTTTTTTTTTTTCATGATAAAGCATATTACATTAGCTTTAATTTAATATATATATAAAAGTGTCAGACTTTCCGGAACACTTTCAAAATTTAAGTTGAAAAAGTCAATTTTTTGTGAAAAAGTTGTCATTTTGAATCCCCCCCGGTAGGCAGGTAAAAAGTCAGATTTATAAAAAAAATATACCAAATGAAAGGTAAAAACATCATGCATCTACAAAAAAAAGAATTATATTGATCCATACATCTTTCGAGAAGTTATAGCATTATAAAGTTAAAAATATAAAAAAGAATTTTTTTACAAAAATCGTATTTTTTTTATTAAGTTTAATGTCTGTTTTCACCATGAAGATAAAATAAAGTCCGAAATTTTTTTTTACCATTATAAAGTATATTACATTAGCTTTAATTTAAGATATATATAAAAGTGTCAGACCTTCCGGAACATTTTCAAAATTTAAGTTAAAAAAATTAATTTTTTGTGAAAAAGTTGTCATTTTGAATCCCCCCCGGTAGGCAGGTAAAAAGTCAGATTTATAAAAAAAATATACCAAATGAAAGGTAAAAACATCATGCATCTACAAAAAAAAGAATTATATTGATCCATACATTTTTCAAAAAGTTATAGCATTATAAAGTTAAAAATATAAAAAAGAATTTTTTTACAAAAATCGTATTTTTTTATTAAGTTTGAATGTCTGTTTTCACCATGAAGATAAAATAAAGTCCGAAATTTTTTTTTACCATTTTAAAGTATATTACATTAGCTTTAATTTAAGATATATATAAAAGTGTCAGACCTTCCGGAACACTTCCAAAAGTTATGTTGAAAAAGTTCTACTTTCTATATGCATTTTTATGTTTTGAATCCCCCCTGTATTTAGGGAAATGGTCCGATTTAAAAAAACAGTATGTCGAATGAAAGATCTATATAAATACTACTTCTCATAAAAAAATTGTAATGATTCATACATTTTTCAAAAAGTTATAGCATAATAAAGTTAAAAATGGAAAATACAAAATCGAAAATTTTCACACAAAAATAGCATTCGGTAGCCATTTTCACCATGAAGATAAGATAAAGTCCGAAATTTTTTTTTTCATAATAAAGCATATTACATTAGCTTTAATTTAAGATATATATAAAAGTGTCAGACCTTCCGGAACATTTTCAAAATTTAAGTTAAAACAATTAATTTTTTGAGAAAAAGTTGTCATTTTAAATCCCCCCTTTTGGGTAGGTTAAGGGTTAAATTTATGAAAAAAATATACCAAATGAAAGGTAATGACATTATGCATCTATATAAAAAAGAATTATATTGATATGTTCATTTTTGAAAAAGTTATGGCACTTTTAAGTAAAAAAAATTGAAAAAATATCGAAAATAAGCGATTTTTAAATTTGTAATTTTTTGGGGGATTTCCCCCGTTTACGGGGAACGAGGGAAATTTTTTCAATTTTTGAGGGTAATGTCTTCGACTAGATACGATTTATGATCTTTTGACATATTGTTCATCAAAATCGATCCAATGAGAGCTGAGATTGAGCGTTCAAAGACAAAAAAAAACACATCATAGTAAAATTAATACCTTTTCAGCTTCGCATCGAAGCTAAAACTATGTAATGACAATTGATCTGGAAAATGTTGTAATTAATGAACTCAAAAAATTGTAATTTTTAAATTTAATGTTACTTGTAAAAAATTTAAACTATTATCAGAAAAATTATTTGTATGTGAATATAAAATAAAACATTGTAAGTTAAACTTATGATTGAAACAAATTTATTTTCTAATCAATATTCACATTAGATCATAAAAATGATGAATAGGTTCGTACTTTTGAACAAGTGTATGTATATATATATTTTAATTCGGTTGACTTGTGATGTTGTGCTACTGTGGACGTAAATTTTTAACTTACCTATACATATAAAATAGATATTTTAACTCACGTGATTCTTTATATTGTTCTTAGATAACTTATAATGAATTAATAACTTTTATTAATAAAGAAAATTAATGAATTCTTACTTTCAACGATTATTTGTATTTCAAAGTATGACACTTTTATTGAAATAATTATTTTAAAATGAATGTACAACACTAAACAGTTGTAAAATACATATTATTGCGTGAGTGATAAATAAAATAATAAAACATACGCAATTGAATGATAAAAACAACGGTATTTATTGAAATTGTATTTTAACGTTGTGATAAATGAACGCTTATTGTTTATATCAAACATACTGTACGTACTAAATGTATGAAAAGAAATATCGTTTGAACCTTACATCGGTTGGGTAATATACTCTTTACTATATATGTACAATAGAAATGTTAAAATATTTTACAAATAAATGCTGTACAATAATAAAACACACAAAACATTTAATGTAATCTATAAAATATTTATTAATTCATTTACAATTTTATAGAAAAAAAATTTGTTTTTACTATTTATATTTACAAATCTTATAAAACAATTATTCTACATTATACAGTTATTTGATTAACTATAAATGTAATACTCTAACACGATTATTCGTACAACAATCGTGATTGTCTTTATGAAATAAATACGTATCCTTTGATAAATCACAACTATCACGTAAAAGTATATCGATTCTCGGACAATCATAATCTTCCATATTAATTACTAGTTTGTTTGTAAATTTTTCGAGAAACTTCTTTTTTTGCAAACCTTTAACGTAAAAATGTGTATACCGCTCACCGAGTTCATTCAGAATCGTTTGCAGGTTGTCGTAGTCGACATCACCGTCCGTATGATTTAATTTATGTTTACAGCCNTATGATTTAATTTATGTTTATTACAGCATAACCACCTATTCACCCTCGACGATTTGGTTGTCATATAGAAATTTATAGGCGGTTTAAATACATAATGATCTAAACGATCAAACGCGTACGCCGTCGGTTCTTTTACGATCAATTGACATCTGTAGTTTACGATACATTGTAAATCGACTACTAGTGACCCGTCCATTTTTTATGACTGTTAAAACTATACTAAATCTTTTTTGTGTATCCAACTGCTTTTTTTTAAACCACACCATTTAACCAAATAATTATCATTTTTACGACGTAAAATTTTTTCTATCAGAAACGTATCTGGAAAATTTGTTANCTATCAGAAACGTATTTGGAAAATTTGTTTTTTTCAACTCCTCCCGGTAGAACGTTCCGTTAATTTGCGTACCGTCTTCATCTTTCAGCACATATACAACGGGCACTGTTTTATTTTATATATGAAAAATATTTCATTAAACCAATTCTGTGTATATCCTTTGACGAAAGCGGCTTTATTTTTACTTATACGTACTGCGTCACCAATATTCAATTTTTTTCGTGTAATGTTAGAATAATTCGGTAAACGATAAAACCGTACGCTATCGGGTTGTTTGGACGCTTGCGCTGGTGTTTGACGGATTGCCGAATGAATAGCATTGTTATAATCATGTTATTTTTTGTAATATACTTAACCATTGATAAGATCTCGAAGCTGTAAATTTTTTCCACATACGTTCTTTAAGCATACGGTTAAAACGTTCGATTACGGATGCCTTCACTGCAGAATATGTAGGGAAATGATGAACACCTCTCTTTATTAGAAAAGTTTTCAACTCTTTATTGAAAAATTCTAAACCTCTGTCTGTCGTTAAATACAATGGACATCTATTACAATTACTTATTATTGATTTAAATGCTGCTGTCACTGCTCTACCAGTTTTACTTTTTAATAGTACACACCATGCGTATTTTGTATACACGTCTATTACAGTGAGAATAAAAGTATAGTTTTTATTCTTGCTAGAATACTTTTTCATATCGACGAGATCCGCTTGCCATGCGTTGTCTTTGGTATAAGTATCATGATGCGTCTGGGAAATTTCTTTTTAGCTTGTGCATGTAACTCCTCTGCTATTTGGTCATCAACGGTTTTCATTCTATCACTCCGTTTTCTCTAAGTTCTTCTTCCAGGGATATTATTTCGTTATACACTACCGTATTACCGCACGGTTTGACGCGTGTAGAATAGACAGTCGCTGCACTAATTCGTTTACATCGTCCCAGTATATGTATTCTTTTCATTTATTTGTTATAGAAAAAAACGGTAGTCCGCCACCAAACTTTTCGTTTTCGCTTGGTTGTCGTCCGTTAAATAACTGTTTTATTATTTTTTTATATTTATATCCTTGATTCATTTTCAATTTTCCGTTAATGTTTCTGTGTACTCTAGTGTGTATGAGACAGTTTTTATACGTTAACATATCATCAGATGTAATTATATCGACGTTGGGTATCTCTTTAAATAACAATTCGTGTAATCCTTACGTCAGTGGTACTTGTTTTAGAGCACCAACCTTTATGTTACCCATATGTTCATCGATGATTACCATTTTATCACCCATTTTAAAGTCACCGTCATCAGTAACGGTTACACCGTAGACCGCATGAAAGTTTGATTGTTGTTGATGTAACGGTTTAGACAGCACGAATGTTTGATTTTTACCAATATCATCGTATTCCTCAAGATCATTCGATTTATGTTTTTTAAATAAGTTTTTTGTTTGTTGTGCAATTTCTTCCAGAGGTTCAACGATAGGTTTCGTATTCTCGCGTATAAACTATCTGGTTTGGTCAACATCACGTTTAAGTTCCAGTAATTTTTTTCTAATACTTTTTTAGCTTTGATGCGAAGCTGAGAAGGTATTTGGTTTTACTAAGATGTGTTTATTTATTTATTTTTAGCTTCGATGCGAAGCTGAGAAGGTATTGGTTTTACTATGATGTGTTTTTTTTTTTTTTTTTTTTTTTTTTTTTTTT